TTGAACAAAACTTGACGTAAGAAAAATGCGAAGAATTTTTTCATATTTTAAAATGTTACTTCTACTCATATATATCAGTAGAAGAGCCTATGAAGATATCATTTATCGCTTTGGCTAATAATTTGCGATAGACTTATCTCCACGTGGTGCACCCTGGGCAACGTATACTCATACGGCAAAAAGTCTATTAACCGGGAGCTGCCTTCTGACTTCAAACTACCATCACCCTACTGTGTGTCATATTCGACTAATTCCACAATACTCACCTCACCTTTTTTCTACCTTCGTCTTTGAAACACTCTTCTGTTCCCACCCCCACCCCGTCTCGACTTTTTTTCACTCTGACGTTCCTTCCCCTCTGTGAAGCCTGAAGTCAATTAAATGGCTAATGATAGCTATCAAAACGCCTGCCATTTGATATAAATAAATATTTTTTCACTGCATATTCACACGAGAAACGGAGTAAAATCATATATGATAACCAGATTTGAATTAAACGCTTTTTACCTATATCACGAGATTCGAAAGTGACGACTAATCTTTGAGATGCCATGTAACTTATTGACAGCTAAACTTAGGTAAAGCCTTTTAAGGTCATTGTATTTACTAAATGCCCTTGTACTGATATTATTACTATAGAGATAATTACTAATTTAATACACATTTAGATTCATAAATCGTTAAGTGACTGCAATCGAAGCATCAATTTGGCTAAAGAAAAGACTGAAAAGTGTAATACTGACTGAAGAACGGACCTATGCACAGGTTCTAGGTAAAACTTATTTGTCCTAAGGGAGGCTGTAGTAAGTGGATAAATGGTATGCTCATCTCTAAAAGAAATTGTGATAATAGGGACAGCACACTACTGATCCAAACCAATACACACCCACTGGCCTCAAAATTTCCAATTAAATAAATTAAAAAAATTCCAGAATGAATTTCATGCAGCTGCTTTCGCCTCGTCGCAATAACACTGACCATACAGGAGCTTCTTTCAATCATTCCAGCTATACTCAACTTAAAATTATCGAAACTGAGCCTACTTTTGCCTACGTTAGATTTATTCCACTTTAAAACTTTTTACGCCTTTAGCCTGAGTTCAGTGACTTTAATAACACCATTGAGTTATCCATCATGAGCACAACAACCCATTAAAACAAAATTGAAAAACTGAAACATTACTTCCGATATTTTCCATGACCTCTATAACAATTAACCAGACCTAAAAAAGCATAACTTTAAAATTCTAGTACAATGTTTTCGTCGCTTTAACATATAACTATACGTAGAAGTCTACCTATTAACAATCGTTTTAAATACATTTAAAATCAACAAAAAATCGTACCAAAGCAACCATTCATGAACAATTTTTACATAAATGGTGTAATATCTTGAACTACACCTAAACAATAACCATCTGAAAGACTTATTATTTGTGAAATACTACAATTTCAATCAAGTTTGACTTAACCAAGGAACAGCAAATTGTGCTACAAGATGTGAAAATAATTCACTTTACAAATCCAACGACTGATCAAGGTAGCATAAATGACAGATGATTATTTAGGTAGAAATTATTTACCTCACCTCGACTTGTCCCCTCTCCCCGTCTTGATCATGAGAAAAACATGAATTGTTTGTTAGTCACCACTACTCTCACATGTGGTGGCTCATAAAAAAACCTTGTCACCCCCCCCCCCCCCCCCACCACATCCATTTAAAACCCCTTGGTTAAATTGGAAGCGTAATCTAACAATTTCCAATCCTAGCGCGTTTGACATCAACATCATCAAATGTCTACCGCAGCATCAAATTCTTATTATCTTCACTATAAATCCTCACTTATATGCCAACATATTTGGAGCAAAGCAACCGAAATAAACTTCGCTTTCTCTTATAAACTATCAAATCTTTTTTGTCATTGACGATAAACCATTCCCAATGAAACGAACTCTTGATTAACATTAGTAGTAGTCTGGTTCCAATTTAAGAAATACCAACCTAACCTTTTTCTTCAAGGATGATTTATTAAATCAAAAAAATTCTAGTTTAAGTCCCAATATGAAAATAATCACCATGGTTCCAATCCCATAAGGCAAGATATCTAAAACTTGTCTCACTCGCAACAATACGCTAAAAATATTACATTTTTTAAATCTTTGCCAGCTTAGCAAGGACTCTCGTTTAGATCTGGGTATCCTAAACGAAGTGAGTCAATGATCAAGTCATCGAAAAATCTCGTATAAATTTGCCCCCTTATTTCAAGAAATGTCATATCCTAATTAACAGGAATTAACAACGGATTCTAAAATATATCTTTGCTTACCAATCGAAACATTTAAAGAAATGTATAGCTATTAATACATATACGTGTCTAGATTAACATTTCAAAAAGCACAAAAAATTAGAACTAGTAGACGTAAGTGTTACCATCTTTTATAGTAAAACCTAGATTTTACACACCCATAGACGTGAGACAAAGCAATAATCACATAAAGTGTACTTTCATGTAAAAATGGAGAGGAAAATGAAAGTGGCCCAATTATGTACAATAGTTACAGAAGAAAGGACATACATTACAAATATCTCGACGACGGCGACCTGGAACCAATGACATCATGGTTAAAGTCATCTGTAATATTCCGGAAGTTTATACGATCGAAGATGTCGTGAGAGGTGTGGTGGATACTACTCTCTTCGTCATCAGGTAGTAGAAAATGTGGAGAAACTTCTACATCAGCGGATGTTGAATCTGACTCGAAATCACCGATCGCACCATTCAACATCAACGGCGATTTAATTCTCTTTCTATTTGGAGATGGAAAGCCAAAAAACGCTTCCCCACTGGGGAAAGGTCTTTTTCTACTCTCCTCCAACTCCAAACCTCGAATACTCATGCCGTGTCTTTCCGCACAGCGGAGCACAAACTCATGGATTTCTGCAGCGGAGTAGCCAAGAAGTAATTTAAGATCACATACAAATTTGTAGCAGAATCGTTTGCTCTGTACTTTGGAAATCATATCACCATCGTAATAGTAACGCAAAGCCCGCGAAAGTTTCTCGTAATTCATGGTAGGTTTATTTTTTCGTTGGCCCCAGAGGGTAGCAACTCTTTCAGGTTTAGACAATACGAACTCGCCATCGCCGTTTACCCAACGGATAGAATCTAGGTGCCTCCAGTCTGTAAGAAGATCAAGGAGAAATTGCCACAACTGAACCTGGTTACCAGAACCAGAAGAAAAACCCACTTGTGAGGGATGAGTCACCTAGGGGGAACAAAGATCATTTTAGTCATAAAACACATTATAAGTAAGCCCGCAACGCATGTAGTCAGCACCTAATTAGTATGAAAGATGTGCACCATTGAGGAAAGACGAATATTGAAGGCTAAAGCGCCACTTGTTTGACCAAACGATGTTCAGTTCCATGCACCTATCTCCAGACTGAGGATTATGATCACAAGGACAATACGTCCACTTTCTCCCATCATTTACAATATTTAAACTCATCGACCCTTATTTCAACCAGGTATACATCATTTAGACTGTATGTCTCTTCAACTTAACGTGCTTAATATTTTATTTCAAATGGCAGGCGTTTTGATAGCTATCATTAGTCATTTAGCTGACTTCGGGCTTCACAGAGGGAAGGTTCATCAAAGCAGCAGAAAGTCAGGGGGGTGGGGAACAGAAGAGCGATTCGCGGATCCTGTTTAGACCATTTAGACAACAAAGGTGGAAACACCAAAACATAAAATTTGTCGGAAAACACTCACAGCTAAGGTGCCAAGCTCATGCATATGAGGAGAAAATGCTGGAATAACGTGATATTGTCCCGAAGTAGGGGCTACATGAGGTACCCCTCCGAAAATTCGACCGTTGTTATTGTCAGATGGGAAGGGATAGGAAGAACACTCATGACCATCAAGAGGTACATTAGTAGTAGGAAATGGGAGTTTATCACTACCACCACCACCACCACCACTGCCGTTGAAGCCGTTTCCGATTCGAAGCAAAGGAGGATGAGATGCTGCTGATAGCATGTTGTTGCTTCGATAAAGAGAGGGATTAGAGGATATGAATTCACTTTTTGCATTAGAGGAGTGGCTGTCTTTACGATCATTCAAGCGCAATGGAAGAGACGGAGAAAATATGCCAGTGCCGCTACAGTTAGCCCCCGGTGCATTGTTCACTACAAAAACGAAAGAGGTAAAAAGTAGACCGATTCGAAAGAATAAATTTTGAAATTATAGATACGTAATTGCACGACTTGCCAGTAACACCATAGTAACGAGAATTGGAGGGTGCTATATCAGTAGGATTGTAACCAGCAAAGGAAGAGAAATCAGTCCGTGTATTTCGACCTTTAGGACGATTAATCGGACGATTCACCCGTTGGTGGTTGTAATTAGACGAAGGGGGTGGAAATGACTGGGTTTGAGCTTTGAATGGAACGCCTAAAAATGGAGCGACGGAGGATTGTATACATTTGATCAACAAAATTCAAATAAAAAAACAAAGACACTTACAGACTTCATGGCAGATTTTGAGAAGCTCAAAATGAGTTAGAAAATTGACATTTATGTTAGCCGTTGAACCCGATGATTTGAATTTTTCAGCTAACTGAAGTATTGTGAGATCTGTCAGCTGACTACCAGAGAGACCTGTGAACGCTTTGGCCAACTTGCCACCATCCCCTCCCCCATTCGGAGGCACATGACGAGGATCAGTTGGAGACTTCCCCATCAATTCAAACTCTTTAAGCGCCCAATTTATCCACATCACAACCTTAGAAAATTAATCGTAGTGCCCATTTTAATATTTAATCAAAATAGCAGATGCGTTAATAAAATGGGAATGAGGAAAAATTTACATGGATTGCATTCCAGTTGCTAGGGTTCCTTGGGATGTTATTCTCCTCCAGTCTACGACGATAATTTTCATCGATCATCCACTTACCCCCATAGTTAACTTCACTGCAATCAAAACGTCCAACAAACATACTACCAGGATTGGGGACACCGTAAGGCAAGGCACTAACATGAGAGGCTGGATAAAGGCTTAATTGTTGAGATACGGTGCATGAATCTCCGTCAATTTCCTCAATGCCACGACTAGCGGCAGAAAAGGCGTCAACGACAGCTTGTTGCGAAACAACCATGCTCTCCTGTTCAGCTGATAATCCATCAGAATTCAAAGTATCCAAAAACGGTCCCAATGGTGCACCGTCAAAGACTTCACAGCCAGTTTGATTTATCTGCATTAAAAAAATAGTAAAGCTAAGTAAACAGGCAATGTGGACAGGAAATCCCCAAGAAAAGAACACTTGCATCAGTTATGACCATTCCATCAAGATTAGGAAGGATGCTGGGATCGTTTTGATTAGATGCCAAAATATCAACAATGTTGAGGCGACAATAGCGAAGCTTTTCATAATGTGTAGGCATTGACTTAATCTCCATGATAACAGCAACTAATCCCGTATCAATAGTGCAATGAGAGGAAATTGGTTTATGGCCCTCCAGAAGAACATGGTCATTGAGATAATATTTACAATTTCCGAGATCACAGTTATATTTTGTGCGTAGTACGTGTGCAATATCATTAAGTGTTTTATCCATACTCAAAACAACCTTGATCCGTCTGACAGAGCTTCCAGAAGGTCTTACGTTCCGCAAATTTGGCTGATTTTTGCGATTAGAATTCATAAGTGAAGAGAGGGGATTACTCTTAGATTTTTGAATACGCGACATAATTCAAAATATAGCTAAAATAGAAATAACGATAAACATTTACAACTCTTCAAAAACAAAAATTTGTTTAAAAAAATGAAGAAAAGAAATCATATGAAGGAATTCGTACATGCTTTAAGTGACCGTTATATTAGTATTTTAATAATTACGCGATAAATTGCCCGACTCAATTCAAGCAATATGGCGTCACGTTTATTCGAATCCAGCCGAAGGTAGAAATAAAGGAATTAAGGCAAGGTGGACAATTTGAACAAGCTAATTCATAATTGATTTCCTTAACCGTAGATCAAATAATATATGCAGGTTATATTAAAATAAATTCAATATATTTATTCTTATTATGATAATGATTTTGACATTTAAAAATAAAAGTAAAATATTTGAAATCTACGAAGTGAGTGAAATTTCCTATTTCTGAAAAACTAAATAAATCAGCGAACTTTAAAGGTACCGATTTTTCAAAAAACTTTCACTGATCATGCTCTTCGGGATAATGTATTTTCAGATTTATTACTCGTTAGAAAATTTATGATCAGTTTTAAATAAGGTTATCTTTGTTTTGAATCACCAAAGTCACTCAGTTAAAAATGTCCTAAGTACTAGCCGTCCTTAAGTTATATTTAGCAATTGCCTTTTATAACTTTTGTTAACTAGGAAGTTGAAAGAAAATATTTGACCACTTCCTTTTACCTGTTACGATTAGAATATATTACATTCAAGAGAATGTTAAGTTTCTTTTCAGTATAAAGATATTTTCTATCAACGAAATGTTCATATTTAAGACGGCATTTACACTAGAAAATTTCATTTCAATATTATGGAAATATTACAATCCAAATAGCGATAACTAGGATAAATATATTATGTTAAATTTTCAAAAGTTAGTGAATTTAAGATTTTGTTGCGCGCTTTATTAATTATAACTGGCTTTGGTGTAATATTTTTTCCAACCTTCGAAAAATGTAGAATTTGACTGCTCTAAATCACTACTTAGATGAAGATATTCATTCAATAAAAATATGTTTTCGGGTATCATAAGTTTAAACTTTTGAATTAATGCAGAGATTGATATTCCTTTAATATGATAATTTGAAGTCAGAAGTTTACTGTCGATTTGTAGACTCTTATTGCCGTATGAACATACGTTTCCCAGGGTGCGCCACGTGAAGTAAATTCTATCGCACAACACTTGATAAATATTATAAAGTCTGACATTCAAAATAATTATAATATATCTTTGAAAAACAAACAATTAAAGTATGATAATTATTGATAAGTATTGATAAATATTCGATTGCGTTTCAATTTAAATAATAAAATTACTTAAATAATAGTAAATCACAAACAAATCGTCCTTCAATACCATTGGTTCTTGCGCTGGTGCATTTTTCAATAATAACAACCGGAACAGGTTCTTGCCTGGTCATCGTTTTTGGTAGTTTTTCAAGTATTTGCGCTGTATTATGCGTTTATTTGATTTATATTTGATAACCTGAAGACAAAAGCAAATATTTGTTTATGTGCTTGAATATTCAATTGTAGCATATTACATATCTGCCACCTTTATTAAATTGTCAAAATTTTGGTCTTCGAAGTCAAAGTCTCTTTTTCAAACTGCTAGATCTGAATTTCGCTATGAGTGATATTAAATTTTTTGAGGAAAATCCCGGAAGTGAACAATTTTCCGATGATGAAGATGAGGATTCTTTTAACAAATCTCCTCCCTCTCAGCGCAATGTATCTTTATCAAGTACTCGCGATCCCCTATTATACAAGCGACCAAAATTAACGCGAGGCAAACAAAAAATTCCTATTTCCTTTATGCGTGATCGAGTCAGACGTTGTTCTACTTTTTCCAAACGAAAAACTGGATTGATGAAAAAGGCATTCGAGTTAGCAGAATTAACTGGTGCTGAAGTCCTACTTCTTGTCGCCTCTGAAACGAACCACGTGTATACGTTTTCAACTAATCGTTTGAAACCCATCATTGAGTCTGACCAGGGTAGAGAACTTATCCAATCTTGTTTAGGTCCTCGTGGTCAAAATAGCCGTAATGTTGATACTTCTGCTGCTTCTGTTCCTTCTCCCGTGTCACCTCAAATTCAGACCCAAGATTCTTCTCCCGAGCAAGATAAAATTGATAATCAGCATGAAGTCGTTGCAAGAGTAGCAGCCGAATCCCATCTTCCTCAGCAGTCACAACCACAGACACTTTCTATCCAAATGGCGGATGGAACTTTACTTCACTTGCCTGTCAATTTTCCCAACTCCGGACTAGTTTTGCCTCTTATTTCATCGCAGACAATTGCTCCAGACGAGGTCATTGCCTCTTTGCTATGCCACCGTGTTGCCAATGGTGATGAAATTCAAGCCCTCAGAAATTCAGAGGCATCTAGCAACAGCAATTCATCCTCCAAGTAATTGTATATCTATTACCATGTAATTTCCTTTTCTTTTGGACAATTATGACCCTTTTGGATTAGCATGTTTTGTAAAAATGTTACTATAATATTTTGTTTTTATCTTTCACTTAATATATGAGGTAATATGAATATTTGCACTATTGTGCTATGTTATGATCTATTTGGTTACGTTTTACACGCCTTTACTCCCTCTACACTTCAAATTTGAGATCATTATAATCAATGATGGCTATCAAATAAACTTTCACATCGGGTAGTTTAAGAATATTTGCATCCCTTCTGCTTTAGCCAACTAGATTTCCCAGTGTCTGCGGTCCTCTTAACAATAGCAATAAAGACTTGCTAATTCTAAAATGTACTATAACTGGAAGCGAAAGTAGTCTCATCCTTTCAATGTAGCCGAGTGTACCTGTTTATGTTCGACTGTTTCTACCTGGCGATAAATACTTCATACATTTGAAATAACGCTATTTCCACGGTAGGCTTCATTGTTATGTTGGTCTATGTGTTTATTTTGATTTGATGACGATTAACTCCCATTTCTAAGTAAAATTCAGAGCTATGAGTTAATAATGGGGAGTGCATCTATCTACTTAAGTGTAGTAAGTAGATTTCTGAATTACACAGATTTATTTTCTGCCACTAAATTAACTTGACCTTATTACACTTCGTTGAAAATGTAATATCCTTACTATCCAAATTTCTTAGCATATCCAACCTTATCGTTTAAATTGTGATAAATCCAATGATGGTTTATCCAAACGACAGTTTCGGATTAGCTCCTAGCGTACACGTAAATAATACGTTTGATCGCGCAACCTGTGTCTCGTTTTCATTTTATCTTATTAAGTCCTTGAATTCAATCTCAGGAAAATAAAGAGAGCAAAGAATCTTTTTTGAATGAATAGGGTGGAAAATTTTGTGGCTACTGTTATTACTTTTTCCATCATGCAGTGTGACAATGATTAGGAGGCTTGCCATATATTCCGGCAAACTAAACACCTAGCTTATAACTGAATTGCTCAATTTGTCATTTTCTCAATCGTTCTCGTTTTATTTGTCATAGATAATTAATTAGTGCCATGACTACAATGGTATTTGTTGGCGTCTATCACTTCAAAAATTTCTCAAAGTATTTCGATATGGTTAGCCACAAACTAGTACTGTGAAGACTGGGGTCTATTCAATCTTCCTTCTTGAGACTAGTTTGATGGTAGATTTTGCAAGAGATCTGAGAAAAATAACTAACAAAGGGATGTTTGCTATTTACAAGAATAAGAGAATGGACGAAAACAATAGGTGGGGCAATTGGTGTGAGGCATCTTAAATAATAAGAGCAGATAGAATATTGTTTCTCTATCTTGTGGGTCGGTGGCCACAATGTCAGGGATTGTGGGTTCGATTTCCACCCGTGAACATCCAATGGGCAAAATGGCCAACCTCAGTGATTAAGTCTGGTTAGTAGAGGGTAGTAGAATTTCCATTCCGCTGTACCCAAAGTGAGCCTTAGTAAAAATTTTCCTAAGTGAACTCGGACTGCATATTACTACATTGCTCCTAAGTCGAAAGTTCTAATATGGTCTGTTTTCTATCCTGTATGATTAGAGCCTCCAGGTAGAATTTCGACAATTTTTACATAATATTTTTCTCCCCAATACCCGCTAAACACCGTACTTCATTCCTCAATCAATCAAGATAGCAGACTGACTGAAAGCTTAAAAATTCTCCGGTAATGAAAAGGACCCATAACTATAATGAGCTACTGCGTTAACAGTATAAGTCTTATTTTCCGCAACTAGACTACACTTGACTCAGAAAGAGAGATAGGTTAGAAGTTTGTCAAATTAAAGGCATTTTATTTTTATATCGACAATTGCATTCTAATTTGCTGAAGAATGTTTGATTAATTATGCTTAATAAGACAGAATATGCTTGATCAGACAAACGAACAAATCATTACCTGGTGGTTGGCCTCATCAGGCCGTGATCTGTCATGATGATGTCGTACTTTCCATGTCCTTCAAGACATTATCTCGGTTCCTCCTTAATTGAAAACTTATCTTTTGGTAGGGCGAAGTTCGGTTGCTGGAAAATTTTATGCTGAAGCACCGTGAATCCTAATAAAAAATTTTTCCTCAAATTTGAATTCGTGCCACATTAGGACATTTCGGGTTAGATTAAAAAAATGGTCTCTTCAGAGTGCTAAACGTATTTTTACTGGCCTTTAGTGCCAGCATGATTATTAAATAAAGAAGGGGGGTGTGCGATGGACTAACCTCCACGGGGTGCACCCTGGGCAACGTATATATATAAAGAAGGCATCTGAAAGAATGCAACGGCATTAAAGATACCAGTAAAACAAGTATTCATAAGTATTTTTGACAAAAAGTCTGTACAAAACTAGAAATAGCAAAAAGGGATTTATTGTGCGGCTCTGAAATGTTTTGCGAGAACAATATTACCCCGAATGCCTAACTTCATTTCCTGTCGGGATCTTCTCTTTAAATCAACTCGACGATCCCTATGCTCCTGGAGGGAAAGTCTGGTGATTTCACTCTCACTCAAAGTCATCATCGGCCCGACTCCAGGACGTGATTTCCAAGAAAGAGTTTCCGAAATGGCTCGATTTGTTGACGGAAGTTCCAGGTGAGCACAAGCATTTTGACGGAAAACTGACTGGTAATAGCGTCTGTGACCGATAGCCCCACCAGATGGCAAATGAACCTCATAGGTTTCTTCCTCTGTAAACTTGCTATCAGAATCAGGCTAAAAATAACGAAAACAAGATTTAGCCAACTGCTAAGATAACAATAAGCACCAATTCATGAGCATAGAACTTGCCAAAACAAGAGTTTTGTTTGCCCGATCCCCGCTGTAATACTGACTGTATAGCTCACCTCCAACGCGAGCAATGGGTGGTACAGCTGTTTCGTCATCATCACCAGCTTCGGCTATTGCAGCGGATACCACAATGGGATCTTCGATTCCAGTGTAAATGAAATTATGTTGCTTGTCCACCATATGCTTCCTGACGGCACTAAGAGCTTGCTTTCGAAGTTCTGAGGGAGACTTTTTGTGCCTGTTTTGTCTGGGACCGAGAAATTGACGACCACAACCAAGGCAAGTGAATTCTTCACCAACAAGGCGGCCCAAGTTTTCTAAGAGACCTCTAACGTCGACCAGTTTTTCAGGATAAGGAATAGTAAAATTGTGTGCGATTATCATGTGTGACAAAACACACTCTAGAGCGTCAGGATTGCCCTGATAGGTGGTGTCACAAAAGAAGCAGGAACCAATAGGCAAGGACTTCCCGAATACGCTCGGCGAAAATTCCTCTGGAGCGTGCTCGCTTTCTGATCCGTTCTCTGATGCTGGAATATCTTCAATAACATCCTCAGGGACGTGTGCCTTTTCCCTACAAAACAATGAAGCATCTTCTCGCTACAATCATATATGTCTGATAAATAATCAACTCTAGATTACGTACGATTCAACAGATTTCATTTTCTTTAAATGTTGCTGAGACACAATGTGACACTCATAAGCATTATTAGATTTAAAATTCTTTTTGCAAATCTCGCAGTAAAAACTCTGCAAAAGAAGAATAATTAACAGATTAACTGTCTCAATCAATGGAAAAAATTTAATAACGTTGTGCCATACCTTCTTAATGGATGACTTAGATGTGTTTCCATTATTTAAAAATCGAAACAGCTCTTCCTTTTCCCGAAAAAGTTCTTCTGACAATGGGGGCAAGCCCGCAAGACTTCGTCTAAGGTTATATATATGCCAGTCGGAATGAAGATGTTTTTTAATATCTACTCCCTTTAATTGCACTTGACATGTTCGGCAAGACATTGTAACAAGCTTAGAACGCGCGGGTGAGTAAGCAGTGGTATAAAGTTTATTCCTTTACGAAACTTGTTTTTAATGAACTGTGAAGATTAATATACTAATAATATTAATTGAACAATCTTTATTTGCGTTTATATCTGGTTAAAGACGTTTTAAGAGTTGAATAAAGCTGATGATCGCAAGTATTGGTATTCGTTTGACCAGAAATTTCTGGTCTTTACAAAATTTAAAATTAGGCATTTCCATAAAATCGACCTACAAACTTTGTTCTAGAAATGCATAATAATGCTTTATGTTCGTATTTTCAAATTTTGAATACAATTCTAGATCCATATTGCTTTACAAATGTGAATGCGTATAATTTTGTACAAAGCAATTATTTTAACAAGGTAAGTTGTCACTGCTCATGCCACTTTGTTACCAAACTCAAATAGCCTATTGCTGAATTATCGTAATAATATTTTCGTGTAGTACAGACAGTATAGGCCTAGTAGATCCATTTCTATTTATAAATATTATAGTAGCTTTCTCGTGCGGGAATAATAAACTAATAGTAACGTAAATTAAAATTTCAAATTGTAGGAGATATGAAATAGCATATGGCACACAAGGTGAGCTATAATTGAATTTGATTCCATATAAAAAAGCCTATTTTAGCATTAATGCATAATTTGGATCTGAAAAAATTGTAATTTCTTAACGATTACATATCCTTTACTACTGTGGGACATAAAATATTTTACTTGTGAAACCTTAGAAGTTATGAAGCGTTTCTGTGCTACCATTTAGTATACCTTGGTAGAAGAATCTTCAAACATGGTCATTATCAATTTAAGTCGACATATTCCTCTTTATTGAAGGACGTATTGCGATTTCGTTTAATAAACCGAATCTTCTCTTTAAACCAGATTAAAACATAGGGTAAAACAGGCTTTATGAATTGTGTAACTTAATATAGTACCAAGCTGGAAATATGGGAATCTAAAGGTTAATGGGAGACAGGTCAGCTTAAACTAGACTCGATTCATATATGACACAATCTCAAGGAAGCTTTCTATAAAGCATTGAGTTCTCCAGCAACAGCAATCTATTCCATGACCTTAAATTGCCAACATTTGGTTTCTGTTTGGCCTGTTAATTATCACAAATCTTGCTGTGGCAGATTCCATTACTCCATTAAAGTCCGTCATAATCACAATGTTGGCAATAGTCCTTATCACATACTTTGAACACATAGAATGCCTGAAATCGTGGTAATTGATATCGACAATTAGTTCTATTCGGTCCACACTTAAGACTTTCCTTTGAGTCACTCATGTTTACTCTCCGTCATGACATCCTCAGTCGAACGATCAGGCGGACACCCTGAATTTGGATCTTCAAGAAGATAATAAAAGAGATTTTCTACGCTCTCCCTTTCGCGCTTTGGGTTTAACCACTTCCAGTATATATAATATTAATATACGATTTATAATGATCTTACTTACCCACACTAGTCAAATTTTTAATCAAACAATTAATATAATTATGGTGGCTTTTCATTTTAGTTCAATCTATTTAAAATTAATGGCTACCTCTTCAATACTTAGTCAACTATTTTGTGAATGACTAGCATCCCTTGATGTGATTCGATTTTTGTTTTTTTCAGGTAATTATTTTCGAGACAACTGTTAAAAATTATGGCACCCCTTGAGTCATTCTTTTCATCTTGGTTTCGTAAATAATCTTGAGTTCAAAATCCATGAATCTCCCTGATTGTAAATGCTAATTGCCCTAAACCAAAAACTAATGTGAATCAGGTTTATTTGAATTTCACCACAATCTCCCAAAATAATACTAATGCTGATTATTTCGTCAAAATTTTCAGTCATTGCCCGTTGGAGTTAAATTCTCCAAACCGTCTAAAATATTCCACTCACCTGCATTTTATAATAGACCAATATGATTACTGATATAAACCATTTGTTAAAATTAACTTTTGAAAGATTTCATTATTCTGCTCCTTCGTATTAATGAACTGATTACCTTTTACATAATGTTATGCGGTAGATTTCATCGGAGAGACATTTTCTCCATGAACTTTCCAACTTTCGGATCGTTAATTGAGCAGTGGTCTCATAAGCTCAAAATCCATAATTGCTTTCCCCTAGCAGCAGAAAAATGTTAATGAATCGTAAAAGAAATGGCTCAGTAAGGATTTGCAATCGCTTTGGTATAGATTTAGTCGATAGAGTTTACTATCGAAATGATATTAGCTTGTAATGTTGTCGAAAGTGTTAATGGAATCTCATGTACCAAAAATATGCGGCTCTTAATCTTTACATAAAGTAAATGGCTAAGAATTCTATGAAAGGAAGGTAAATAAGTATTTCGTAAGAACGAAGACACACATTTGTTGAGAATGAGGTAGTCTCCCATCGATGGCTCTGGTCCTCATATCAATTACATCTAAAAGGTTATGCAACAGAGCAAACTCTGCGTATCAATTGGAAGTGTTTTTGGCTCTTATATGATTACTTGTCACCCAAATTTCCTGAAAGGAGTTCAGTTTGAAACAGATGTTGATAATTCAGGATCTCCGATAAAGTACGGCACGTATGAATCCTTAACTCTCAACTTCACCATCTATTTTAAAATCCCCTCTTGTAAAATGTCACCAAATAAATAAGTAAAAGTGGAGCCTGGGGAGAAATTCTCAGGCGAGGAAATAGTCATACGACAGAGTTGGTCCCGACACGTATGATCTTAATTATCGAAATTGATAAAAGAAGAGGAATCCAGAGTTAACGAAAGTGGAACTCTATTAATTACTACTTACTTGAAAATACGTACGAATTCGGTCTTACTAAGTTTTATTGCTGAATTTGAATTTCGAATTAGCTGAGGATATCCAATAGCAACTTACCTTTCACAATTACCACGTTGGTTATTTGTGAATCAAACCCCGATTAATATAACACAAATCACGGGATTATAATTATCCATTCTCTTCATGCTTATAGTTTCTCCTTCTTTAAAACCAGAATTAAGTAGTAAATTAAAGATAGCTGATTGCAAAGATTTCGCAAAATCAGAACTTATTTTGACACTAACTTTCATAATTTGGAAATATCTAGATTTTGAAAAGGACACTTTCGTCAGCCGCTTTTAATTAAGAAGGGTAATTTCACTTTAAAATGTTTGACTTTTAATCAATTTAGTTGTAGCATTACTATCGATTAAATCTGTATAACTCGTCATGGAGAGCGTACCTAAGCCATAGAATAACATGGGAGCTCGAACATTCCGGAACGGGCAACGTGCTACTGATCGCGTAGCCATCAAGTGCTGATCGCGTTAGGGAGCAAGTGCGGTCGTGAGCGTAGAGACCTCTCAGCCAATCAACAGTCAATATTCCCCCCCCCCCATGGCCAGGGTAGCCAAAATTATATTTTAAGGCTTAAGCTCCACTGCAGTGACACGCAACCGCACTAAACGCTAATCTCTTTTCTGGACACTGTTGAGGTAGCCTAGTTTATTTTGGGAACCATTCCATAGAGGATTTTGCCATAGAGATTGATGAAGTCTGCCGAGGCTTATTTGCATAGCGATCAGCTACAACTATTATAGATTACAGGAAAAATTTGAATTTGAACAAAATTGTATGCGTCAACGTCTTGCTTTTCATTGGCAATTTTATTAGATTTAGATGTTTGTTACCTTGATAGCATTACCTTGTTTCTCAATTCAGAAATAAATGAAATCTTATTGACACCAATTTTTAGTCTTTAAAAACCGTACCTAAATTAGGATTACTGTATGTTGTCTAAATGCCAATCATTAGTGGCCTGTTAACCACTCATGACTTGTGAATGGTAAGTTGATTTAACTTGAATCGCATATTAATATTGACGAGAAATCAATGGGAACCGAAAAATTCAGAACATTCTGGGTCAACGAAGAGCCGTGGAAAATGCATTCCCAGTGAAAAGGGTATTTCTCAAATGTAATTTTATGTTGGTCATTTCAACATAAAATTAACTGTAATGTAATAAATGTCTGAAGAAAGACAGGCTTTGCTTTGCACTCACTGTGGCTTTCAATAATTTTGTTAAGGTCTAATTTCTTTATGTAAGGGTAACAGAACCAAGCACCGTCAATATAGGAGTTGAAACATTGTAGGACCTTTTGAACCGAGAGCAGACTATAGAAGGTAACAATAGCAAACAACAGTTCCAAATAAAAGAATAAAGAGTGTATGAAAGAATATTAAGTGAAATACGGTGAAGATTTCAGAAACTAGATGAGAGACGTGGGAAACAGGCACGATGACAGTGTATGGAGTCATTAGAGTAAGGATACGAGTAGGATATGAATTCAAATATAATTTTTAATGAAATGAGACGGTTGAACAAGAAAGGCGAAACAAAAAACTCGTCTCGACTTGGCAGATGGAGGTTTAAATCGCAGAGGCATGGAGGCAAAGAATCAATGTATTCATATATGAATATAACTAAGGTGTTTTTTTGCACATTCACAGGCATCCTTCATTCTCTATCCAGACTTGAGATAATTAAAGGCGATAAAAATTTCTGGGAATGAATCGGTCCAAGCAAAATTGTCCTATTAAAGTCGTAACTGTTAGTTTTCGGGTGTAATGAGGGGAAAGAGGAAGGTCCACGGTTGTATGAATTAGATGAAGGAAACTCAAGCTTGAAAAGGAAAGTTGAATGAAGCATTGCAGGAACGGTAAATACAATAATTAATTGAAGCGACAAATTAAGGGAATTAAGGGAATTTCTAAAGATTACAAAATATAAAACTGACATGTATCGCAATTCTTTTGAAACTGAAGTACCAAACGTAAAAGTATGTAAAATGGCCGATTTTTAAACTGCTTCTATGGCAAATGAAGAGAGAGAATCATTTTCATTATTAAATTGTTCCCATAATTTCATTTAAAATATGTAAAAATATACTTCCGCGAACATTAATAACTGCAATGTGTCAATGCCATTCATCAGCATTATTTTCCTCAAATAACTTTCCCCCACTTAATTCATATCCTTTTTCGCAGTAACACAACGCGAAGTGTGTAATTCAAATTACAGTATTTATTTCTCAAATAACAACTGAGTATTCCTGCATTGCATTCATTTTTGCCTCGTTCATCATGCTAAAGGGGAGGCCGCTCAGGCAAATCTGTTTGGCCCATGGCTTGGCGCAGGCATAAGGATAGAATTCGATTCTCTGATTCCAGCGTCGACACTCTTTGCTGCAAATCGAGGAACATGTTCATCGGAATTGAGGATTGCAAATAGGGTGAAGCGACACAGGATCCATATCCCGACCCAGAATGAGAGGTCGATTGGGATGATATATATAAGTGATTATTCACTTCAGGAAGTTGTAAAAGAACTTGATTTTGGTTTTCTTCATTCTGGTCTTCTTCAGGGATGCTAAATTCAACTGGAACTTGCTTTGAATCATTTTCTGACCTCATACCTCCTAAAGGAGTGGCTGCTCTTTCAAAACGTATCTGCGGGATCGTGTTACTAACGGGGTCTAAAGACATTTGGAATGGTGCTTCCTCAATTAAATTCTGTGGTCGAATGACGGCTGTTGTGATAGCCTTTCGAGGTCCCTGTCCAAAGGTTTCAAGGGTCTCCCCATAATTACATTGGAGGGAAAATTGACGGTGTAGGAGTGGAGGAGCTTTGATGGAACAGCTACGATCGAGGGATGTGTGACGATCGCCACCACTATGACCGGTACACGGGAAAGAGGAGTTTGCCGAAAGAGCAGATCGCCGACGCTTTAGTTCCAAACGGCTGGGAGGGGGAAGTGGTTGCTGGGACAGATGCAGTGGAAGGGGTAGAAGGAAAGGTGATCGTCGAGAAACAGAAGACACCGAGGAAGCGCTTCTTCGAGGGTGACTTTGTATTTCCATACAATTCATTTCACCTAAGCCGCATAATATATATCTTATTAACGCTTACCATTCAACTTCCACTTAAATTAGATTTAAATATTCTACATCATTTGGCCAAACGAAAGTCTAACAGAATAATGGTAATCTCAAATAGTTAACAGTGAATTCTCGAAAACGGTAATAAATTATTAATATCCAGTGCGTTATAGCCGAAATCTGTTCAAGTAGTTCTCTTAACTATAAAATTATTAATAAATCACAGTTTATAAGAACTCTGATAAATTAGACAAAGAGGCATATTTTTTCTATGAACCATTTTAGAAATAAAATTTAAATTAATCATCTCAACTTTATGTTCCAATGACATTTCATCTCATTTCATGAAGAGGCATCGAATTTATAGTGATTGAAATCCGAGAAGCATGACTTCAATTTGATAAGTTGTTGATATGCTTCAAGGTGTAGGATTCTTACATATTTTCTTTAAGTCAGCCATCATCCTTTGCATTATGCAGACGTACGCCGTTCCTGACAAAATAATGGTTAGTCATAGACACAGACTTTAATCTTCCTGACGGATATTTAACTCCATATATGTTAAATATGGAAACAATAAGTATTTACGTATATATGGCCTTTTTGAATTATAAATTCTTTTGAAGCAACTATTTTATCTCCCAGATACCTCTCTTCACTAAATAGAGTCGATCGTAGAGGTAGGAGCTAAATTAAAATGCATTAATGCAAAGTTGAAATGCCTTGACAAACAATAGACAGGATAAAGAACTTACCAAAATTTTCACTGGACTGATCAGGGCTACGGCACACACTGAGTCGGTCAAAGGCGACCTTCTCCAGCTTCTGTTTAGCAGAAGGATAGTCATTGAGCACATCCCAGAGGTCTTCCTTCGAGAGACAGAAGAGATCAGAGAAGCCGATAGATCGTACCGACGCCGTACGTCGATTACCCACGTTACCCATGTTGAGAATGGAAATTTCACCGAAATAACTTCCTGGTCCCAAAGTGGCTAGAATTGTCTTTTCATCGGCTGCCAATACGTTTAACTTCCCCTGACTTACAAGAAACATTTCCTTTCCGATTTCTCCTAATGATTAAAAAGAGGTTGCTTGAGGTGGAAATAGGTGGCATCATTCGAGAACAGCCCAAGTTTTGGTAATTTTGGTAAAAATTAGAAATGCTCATTTCCGCAATGGTTGACAACAACGTGGAGAATTATTAATTAGGTGATATTGAGGAAATGCCTTCTTATCTAATGCAGTGTTATTGGATTGACATCGTATTAAAACATAGGGGGCAAAATAACGTTGATACTTATATGAAGTGGAATCTGAACTGCGTTATACAAACAGCTCAAAATTTTGTTTTGTTGGTGCATTTGCATAACTAGTTTGTGGTTGTTTCAAGCTTGCGACAACTGCAAATTGAAATACAGGAACTCCATATGTTAACCGAGAGACTATTTGCATGCTGTTTCTTCCTGTTAGTTTCAAGTCAGAATCGCCCCCCCCCCCAAAAAAAAAGCTCGAGCATTGGTTAGGAAAACGTTGCACTGAAGTAATTCAAGCATACGTTTGAAGAAACCGACGCAATTCATCCTTCCCTTCTTGAAATAGTTTTTTTTAAAATCTGGTCAGCTTACTAACACTTATTCTAAGTACCGATGAATAGAAATATTGCTTCTATCAGCGATTACAAATAAAGATATTAGTTTTAGGCTAAACTGGAATAACCACTCCCCTTTCAACTACATTGTGTAGTTCTGTATCTATCCATGTTCACTGATTGCACTGCTTGTGGTTTAAATATGATTAATACTACTAGCATTTGGAAGTACGTCCCCAACACAGTTGACCTAGTTCGAACCTTCAAAGTTAAGGTTTTGCTTCAGATAATCTGATATATGGAAGGCGGCAGTGCATTTTGTCAGTTATTAAGAAGCTATTGCTCAAATGATTCCAGTTTTATGATATAAGTTTTGATATAAAGTACCAGAAATAATTTTTATCTAACTGCGAACTAATAGCTACTATTTCCAGTTTGAAGGTGAAATGTTAATTGGCTTGCATGTGAGGTGAAAATACCTGGCTAGTGCGGATATATACCATAAGAGCCCACTAACTTGCTACTGATAACTAGTCTCGAACAATAAATATCCTTAGGATCGTACAACAAGGTCGGAGAAAATAGTGAAATAAGGTGGATATCGGCATTTGTGAAGGAATTAAATAAATGAATTTGGAATTAAGGCAAAATGAACCGGGTGTTGTGAAGATTAAGTAATGACTTCTTTTATTTAAAATTGTGCTGTAACAGAGATTACATAGAGGATATAATTAAATTCAGCAATGAAAATTTTTACGACTCAAGTGATCCTGGACAGAAAAAAGCGCACAAAGTTGCCTTAAAATCGAATTCGAAGCTGATTCAATGGAAGTGATCAATTCTATTGTTAAATTTCCACATTAACATTCGCGGATTAATTCGAAATTGGCGATATGTAAGTCATTCAAATCAACTTAACTGCATATTTAGCCAATAAATAAAAAGGCTGATAGGAAGGGCGTCGCTGATTATTTCTGACACTAAGACCATTGGATGTTGAAATTTAATGTCATTTTAATGATTGACAATCTGACAAAAGTGACAATCAATTGTCAACCCTTAAAAGTTAGGCATACTGAATTGATTTCATTCATAAGTGTGGGGATCACAACGCTTAAACGCCTGAACCAAAGAATTAATGAGCCCTGGAGCATTCCGCAGAGGACGATGAGCTACTGATCCCGTGGTCATCGAGTGCGGTCGTTCTGCTGATCGCGTTAGAGAGTGTGGGTAGTCGTGAGCTCAGAGACATCTAAGTCAATTAGCAGTCAATAGTCACGTCATGGTCAGCGTAGCCAAAATGACATTTAATAACTGAGCTCCGAGTCAGCGACACAGACCAAATAAAGGTGTTCCATACCATTTGTCTAATTCTTCTATGCTGTGTGTGTAACTGCCTGCAGAGATTTCTGAGGATAAGTCGAGGCATTGTAGATTCTACTTTTGTATGAAAGCCATCTGATCTCTTGTAAGTAGGGGAAAACTATTCAATTAAAGGGAATTAAACGATATGTTCACATTCTTAATACAAGGGTCTGAAGTCTTTGAACAACTCTGTTCCCTTTATTAAAAAATCTGGTACTACTAATGATAATTATAAATAATGTACTAGTTAGAGGAACGGAAATACTATCTTAATTTCGATGATCTTCCTTATTATATTATCTATTTTTTCACCTAAAAGCACATCAAAAAGTATTTTGTCGCCATTCTGTTCACGGTAAGAGAAAAATACTAGCATCCTTGATTCGTTGGCTTTGCTATTTAAAATGCCCTTGCATATTGAACCCTTTCTTTATGTCATTCATGCGCCTCGTTAATATTCCGATGAAATAATTTTACGTAGATATGTTTGAATTAATGAACTCTCTATTTGAATACTATTGCTCAAATTTTATGAATCAGTAATTTTGTTTAAATCCAACTATTTTATTTAAGCTCACGTCCTCTTGGGATGCAATCCCTTTCTCTAACTTCATTAACTTTACAAATAATGGACAATTAGGATTTAGATTTAGCTGGATATTTAGTTAGCCAATTACCCTCTACGGATAACTAAATTACACCAACTATGCGGAATTCGTTTTTCCACAATAACCAGGAACTTTTCCATTTGTAATTGAGTACTAAACGAATTGCTTAAAACTATCGAAAAGTGAAATTAATAGCGGAAAGAAGGGTTACATATTTCTGCTAAAGGGGAAAATTTGTTGTCAACTTATTTTTAGAACGTCTTAACATTTGGCAATATTTAAATCCAACAATTTATTGATTTTACGCAATGATTTTACTAAATGCCCTTTATTGATTGCCTTCCATTATCGCATATGCACTGTGGTGACCAACTTATTGCATTCACAAGATGCACATACAGTTAACTAGTTAACTTTACAATTTCCTTTTTTAAAACTTTTCCCTCTTCGCTTACAGTTGCAATCTTTATGCTAGTTCTTTACTTTCGACGTTTCATTCCAGTCTCTCTTCTCTCCTTTAATCGAAGAATATCAAATACACTGCTTGTCCATTTCAACTACTGTTCCGATTTGGCAAGGATTACTCCATTCTGTTAGCCCTAAGAATAATCAGATTTTAAAGGGAAATTTCATAACCCCAGATTATAAAGGCAGTTTTATCAAGAATAACAACACTCTATTTAAATAAATTATAATTCCTATTAATTAAAGACAAACTCCTTAAAATGTAAGGAGCGACAATTATTTACTTCAATTAGCGGTAGCCCCATGACTTCTGAAGTGGATTCAAAAGAGTAACATTTTCGATCCCTTGTTTACATATTTTACAGAGGAGACTTTAAGCATACGTTTTCTCTACCGATTACGGCTATACTTAAAATAATTTGTCCGCAAAAAAAAAAATATATATACTTAAATCAAATGTATAGATCCCATATATTTTGAAGTTTATTCATTTGAAACAGTCGATGAAGAGATATTTGGGTTAACTTTTACGGGGTCCCATTAACCAATCGTTTCTAAGGCTTACTTTCCAGTTATCGGAGCGTTATCCATCGTTGATGTCACACGTTTAACAAACTACTCTAGAAACCCAGGCAACAGTCAAACACAGCAAATCTTGATTCCAAACTTCCAATTTCCATGTCTTTGCATATTTTAACAGGCATTCATCTAATGCTATTATTTTGCCTATGAAAGCCCATAACCTTTTGCTTAGTTCAACTCCAAAAATTACAGGTTTCTATCAAGTAATAGCTTGCCTATCGTCTTTTAGTTTTTACTCTCAAGTCTTTCAGTCAGCTCTTCTTCATCTTTGGATCCGCAACTCTATTTATTTTAGTATACGTTCATTTGTCATTCAATCGCCCCTATTAAAAACTTCCATTAATTTTTCGTACTCATATGTCCTTGCATTCAGTGACATCAGTATTTAGCCGTCGCCCCTCAGTGCTTCAATAACGAAATATAACACTATGAACTCGTAGTGACTAAAATCATTATTGAAATTAAAAATTCAAAGCGGTTCAACTTTTTTGTACTAAATTAATTTAAGTATTAATATATTAACCTTACCTGCCAGTCAATTGGTTGGCAAGACTCAAACCGAAATAAATGAAAGTTAGGGATTGACCACGTTGTGGAGGTGATTAAATCCCACTTAACCCGAAAAGATGTAAACAAATTTGGTCATAAAAGACTATTTGTACAAGGTTGAAAATAGTTAGCTAAAAACGATGCGTTTATGATCAAAAAACAGTGTAACCTGTCAGAGGAAGTATAAATTTCAACGCCTAAAATTTCACTTCTTATCTTCAACACTTAATTATTCATACTAGTGACTGATGGAAGATAAAGGGTCTACCCAAGAACCGAATCCCAGATACAGAGAGCGGTCTTTACTAGTAAATGGGATGCCTAGATTAGTTATCTGCCAACGAAGTGAATTGAAATATTTTACATGAATTCTGTTTAAAATATTAGAGTTTCTAAATTGCAGTCCTTTGAAAATTTAGAGTAATTTTGAAGAGCTATCATATTACATTAAATTTATGAGTTTCCATTAACTAATAAACCAAGTATCTGGATAAAGGTGACAAATTATTAAGACAAAAATATTAAGTTCAGTCAGGAATCTATTGCTTCAACAATTTATGTTCTAAAGTTCGAGGGTAGTGAATAAATCCTGATTCAATGAAAATAATTCAAACTGATTGCATACATCAAGTAACTAACTATGAGCTTAAAACATATATTTATAGAATAAATAATAAAGTGATTCAATACTGAATTCAAAGATCAGATCAAAATAATACTGAAATGCAATTTAATTAAAACTACTGTTAATTAATTATCATCAACACAAATGTTAAAGTATGATCTTATAACTTTACTTTGCGTACCTTTTCGACATATAAAGTCACCAGGGGAGAAGAGAGCTGGCCGAAGTCGTAGTACCAAATCGAGAAGAAAGCCCTCTTCGGTGTCCTGGAACATGTCTACGCGTTTGAGCGTATCCAGATGCACATGAATAGCAACTTCGGCTTTCAGGCGATCTGGAAGGTGCTTAAGGACCCTTTGCTCATCAGGAATATGACTTTGACGCCATAGATAGTCAAACCAACAGACAACGCGACGTTTTAATGTTTCAGGAGCCTTTCGCTTTACCAAGTACATTCGAACTTCAGCAAGCTGACCTGAAATAGATATTTAAGTGGCATTAAAGAATTTTTTGTCAAAAATGGTGCAGTAATTGGGGATATAACGTTTGAAACGCAAATGTGACTCGCTGGAATTTGATTGTTTGTAAATTTAACAATATTAACAAAAGGAACTCAGTAAATAGAAAGAGGCTTTCACTCAAATTGAACCGCCTAACCAATATAACAACCCTATTTAAGACCGAAATATTTGGATATAAAATTAACGTGAAAGGTTGTGTTATCAGTTGGTTGATTTTTCAAAAGAATAATATAATATCCTTTTTTAATAAATCGTTAGTTCAATTGGTAGATTATCAAATATTTTCAAAACACCATTTATCGTTTAGAGTTGGTCTATGAAAGTGAATCATCTACTTCAGCGTCATATTTAAAGGGATATTTCAAATTTTTTATGTCTTTAATTCAATGCCCATATAACTAATGGTGAATATTATTCGTAATTGACATCGGTAGAAAATTAAAATTCTAGTATGACTTAAAGAGTAACTTACTATTATATGTTGACTTAAGACTATCGGCTAATTCATACAAGTTAAAAAAACTAGGGAGAACTTTCGAGATAACAATCGACAAAATGATCACCTGTTCACAGTAAGTAGACATCAACATTTTCAAAGGTTTGTCACGAAACCTTACGGTTCAATTCTTTCAATTATGAATTAACCAAACCTGAAAATTGTAAAACAGAATTTTTGCTTTATCAGTTCAAAAATAAATTAGGAACTGAATATCTTCCTTCTATTACTATCAAAGAAGCACTTCCGTATCTTAATTAAACTTTTGTCCTAAGGTTATAATTTTAACTATCTGAAAAAAGCACATTAAGAAATAACTTAGACATTCCACCAAATGACCAATTTGTCTTTGCTGAGTGTAGGCAAAAAAATCTACCTCTACCTTATTAAATTAAACTGTTTGTACAAGAGTACATATACTTTGAGTTCATGAAGTTTGGGCTAATTAGTTGAATTAAGCAGAAGTATAGTGACCATTCTTAGTATACCAACAACGGCTCTGACAGTATGGTCAAAATTCCTGCTTGAATCTTAGACTTACTTTTAATTGTACATTGAAACAATTGAATCCAAGTGGCATTGTTGCCGATATAATTTTAATTAAATTTAAGTAAGATTTTGAATCATATGTCAATGGTATTCTGAATGGAATTGTATTTAGCTAATGACAACCCAAATCTAAATAAAATAATACGGTATTTTGCTTAGAATTAAATACCCATTTCTTAACCTCCACAAAAGCAAATAAGTTATTGAAATATTTCGCTTTATCTCTCTCTCTCTCTACCTGATTCAAAGCCTGCAATTTTTTAACTATGCCACATACAATAATAATACTAATAGAGTAAAAATGAACGATGAGGTACAATGCTCTTCCAGCACCTTTTCAAGGTTTGAACGCTATTTTTATGAAAATATGTTCAATGTCATCTGTTTTCCCATCTAATGATGGTTGTAAGAAGGGAAGGCCAAACAGCTGGAATGTGAATTTTTAAACATAGATGATTAGTTTGAAAGAAAACTCACGGTAAACAGGTTTCATATATTGAAATAAGAAATTATTGATTTGTTTTAGCATAGTTCTTATATGTTCCATTTAGACTTGCCATTGACGTTCTTTTTTACCTTAAGATTAAAGATTTCCTCATTTAAAATTTATTTTTCACAACCTGATTTTATTTAAAGCATATTCATGAAAAAGAAATTTATTGTTTCCTTCTTTTTTTCTAAAGTTACTTTACAAGTGTGCTCCCGACTTTGGGTACTGAAATCTCAGTTAAAAGGCATGTCTTGGGGGTGGTATTCGAGCACCACACTTTGTCCATTTAAAGTATAAATGGACACAAAGTTTCAGAACATAAAGTTATTTAGTAACAGCATAGGTTAATGTATATCTTATGAAATAATCAATTTAGTAAGTTAAAAATTTTAGGATGCTGCAAAGTCTCAAAACAATTGATTCTAAAAATTTAGATAAATTTTTCTTTAAATTATATGATTTGTTTCAATATTTTGTCAGTTGCAAAAATAATTTTCATATTAAGTCTAATGAAAAAGAAAGTTGGTTGAAGAGAAATGAATTAAAGGAGTGATCATTTGTTATGCGGCAAGTTAAAATGAGAAATACGAAAAACCCCGCAATTGCGAAATATCTTTTAAATTGAAATTCAATAATTGATTAAATTTTAGCCATAAACGTTAGTCAACTATCCCATTGAATTTAAGCGGATATTTGATTTCACGATGAATTTAATAAATTTTATAAAAATTAATGACAAATTTAATAAAATATAAGAGACGCACAGCCCATAAAACTTAAGTAATTAAAGAAGTAAGTAAGAAGAAAAAAGAAATTTTTATCAGGATCCAAAATTTAAGGTTGCTATAACTAGGAAGATTGCTAAAAATCAAAATGAATTTCTTCCAATACTTCATTAACCAAATAGATCATTGATTTTTCACTGATATTATCAACAGCAAAGCAAATCAATACTATTCTCAACCATAAAAAAGCATCCGAACATGGTAGCCGTAATAGATCTGACAAATTCCGCGTATGGAAAGTATTTCCCTTAATGTTTATAAATTACTCTGGGTACCTGAGCATGTTTACGTTCTCAATATCTCATTGTTTCTCTATCAGATGCACTTTCAAAAGTGATATCATTCAGTTTTAAGAGCTGCAGAAAAAATTCGAAAAATAACTGAAATTGTCAGAAACCGCCTGCTCTTAATTCTTTTAGTTGAATTGAGTTGTGAACAATTTGGATTCCCTATTTCCTTCCAATTAGACCACCTGTCTGAACAACACAATGCAAACTAGTATTACATACAATGGAAAAATCTCTTATAAATGTGTTAATTGAAAGCAATAGGTTGACGTATGAACATAACTATTGTACCATGGCTTTTGGATATTTCTTTGACATCTAGAGCATTTTCAGATGGAAATCTTTCACGAATCGGTTCGCGTCCGATAAAAATTTTTTTGTTATAGATCAAGCATTTTCCTGGCGCCCAACAACTTTCCCAAAGCTCGCATAATCTCAGTGTTTGTGATGAATCGTCCAAAGCAGGCAAACAAAAAAAGAACTTTGTCTTCGCTTTCACTCCACACCGAATGATCACGTCCCCTGTTTTGTTGAAATGGGATGCAATAGCAATTAAATACCAGGCGCTTAGTGAGACCTTCTTTTATAAAGCCATACGAATTTAAATAACATTTCAATATAATTAGCAACAAACGCCACGCAATTTAGTATATTTCTTTTATTTATACGAATAAGCACTATGAAAAACATCGTAGAATGAGGAGAGGTACTACCACATACTTTTATAAAATATAGTGATAAAACTTCATTAAGTACAAACAATTTATATACCTTTCAACAGATAAAGCCTTACACATAAATTTGTTGTCCTTTTATTTCTTTCATTTTTATATTGTGAGTGTTCGAAATTATAACTTATTTATTCTGTGGTTACCGAGAGGTTGCGAACAGTGCCGTTAATTTCTGAGATACTGATGGGAAGACGATTAAACGCAAACGAATGCTGCATAATTTGTGTTTTCCCTAGAGATCATCTGATCTCGCCAGTTTTCTTCGATTCATCCATATGAGTGCACACTGATGCTTACAGATTAAAGTGACTTGTTATAAAAATTTCCTCAGTTGGGTATAATGCCTTAATATCTAAATATCAACGCATGATCTCTCCCCCTACTCTGGCATGCGTAAACTAGTCAGACAGCATTTTTTGGACAGGCACACCGGGGAAATGGCTTCACAACAGCGCAGAAGACCCTAAGTTTGTAAAAGAGGCAAAGAGATAATCCATAAACCGACTGCAGGACAAAAATTCATCTTATTAATTCATGGAAATCAATCATGTCAGAAAGGAAACTATTAGCAAACTGAGAAAATCAGCCGATTTCCAACTATAAATGCTAGATACACTATTTATGATCTTACTCATATTACTCGCTTCAAGTTTTGTTTCTAATAATAAACGATACAAAATAATTATGATAACTAGTGTAGAGAATTTCAGAGACTATACAAGTAAGTGGACAGATAAGTATGACAGCTCAAAAGCTCATTCAAGATGGACAGGTACAATGAGATAAAAATAATAAAATCCAAGAGATTAATCACCTTTTATGCATGTGAAAATTTACCAAAACATGTCTAAGCCAATAAACTTTTTAAAAACAATTAATGTTATGTATTATTAATTATGGTGGAAAAGTCTGTTTTAGATTTCCTTTTCCATTTAATTAGCTCAAACTCGCCTGGAGGCACCAATAGTGGCCAGACCTAATAGGTTTTGAACTCATTAAAAAAATTACACAGGTCTTTGTCCGTATGCTCTGCATTATTAAACAAAGTATCATTTTAAGGAACACAACCAGGTAGAGCCAAAATATATTGTCTCGTTGCGGTCTTCAAACATTACTTTTTCAGCTCTATCACTGTGGATTTACTTATGAAAAATAGAATGTCATACAATGTTTGCTTACCGCTTTTTCAGAGAGAATATGCTATTCGGTAAACAACTATGCTGTCGCAGAAACGAATTTATCACTTTTTGTCTTAAGAAATAGTTTGACATTTATTTCTCCCATAAGAGTTGTCAATTATGTTTTCATTATGAAACCTACATCCAGAAATCAATCGAATAAAATTCTTTATACAGAGTTTTATTGTGACCTTTCCGTCTCGAATTGTTTTTAGAACTTTTTCAAAGACTTTATTAATAGTAAAAGTAGTGAAAAATCAAAATGTTCCCAAACATTTAGTTATGAAAGGGTCTGAGAACAGAACAAATAATGGGGATCTTTCCATTTGGAAAAAGCCTTTTCACGAGACGAATTCATATGAATATTTTAATGGTTACAGCTGTATAAGAAGTGGAAATAACTCTCTTAGCCAGTGACACTTTTAATAAGGAAATGCGGCAACCGAAGCAGGCAAAAGCGGACTATTTCGTGACTACCCGAGTGTGAGAAAAGTGGAAAGTAGAAACAGAAGAAAAGTATAAGTCAATCAAAATTTATCCTCCAATAATTTATTGTCTAGGGGTAAAGAAGCAATGAGCTTTTCAGGCAGGTCACAAGTATTTCTTCCAGATTCCCAGTTATTTTAATTACACCGGAGGACTATATTTAATGAGGCATGCAGTGTTGCCGTACAAGGATCCCTTCTATTACCCTTTAATAGAACTATTTAAGTTGTTTGTGGTGAACTGCAAATAGATAAAAGAAATTCTTATTTAACTCTAAAGTTGACCTATCTTAAATAAATCTATTATAAGCTAAATTCAAATAAAAGCAGATAACAAATTGGAACTCTGAACCGTGACTGTTCCCTGAATTTTCCAGTATTAAACTAAGAGTTTTGAAGAAGTAAGAAGTCACGGAAAGAATACCGCAATATTCAATTGCTTCGTTTTAAGCTTTAGACCATATAAAGAGGAACGCAAAGTCATTAAACCATAAGCTAGAATTCATTGAGCGTTAAAGAAAACTTACGTCTAAAATCGTTTTCATTCACATTCGCATTGGAAATGAGCATATTAACATTTGCAATTAGGATTGTGATCAGAGTGATGCCGATAAGTCCTTCAAATATAAGCAGAGCGTAATATCGCTGGACTTGGGACATATTATTGGGTTGAAGTTCTTTTCGAAGAGTCAAGCATAGCAAGCTTTCGTAGAAAGAATGAAGATAGTCCTCAAAGGAACTACTTTCAGAAGGACTATGTTGTGATCCAAAAGTCTTGGTAATATAATTGTAAAAGCATGCATTCCAGTGAAGAATAGTGACAGATATTATAATCCAGCCTATTGCCCGAATAATATTTGGATGTACGCTGCGCCGTTGTGCCATGTCACTAAAGTCTATGAGTTTGAAAATCTTCACAAAACGAAGAATTCTTAATAGTGATTTAAAGCCTACTGATAAATACAGTAGATCCAAGGGCAAAATGCATAGACAATTGAGGTAAAAACATGTCGAATTAAGGTAGTGCTGCCTGGATAGAATGGGGTCTTTCTTCAGAATCCCACTGTCGAGGTATGCCATTCGGAAACCTATTAGTAAATCTAAGAGATAGACGGTGTCAGCAATGTAATCCAGAGTAAACCACAGGGACATGGTGGCATTTGTTATTTCGGCAAATGCAAAACGATAGGGGATTACCCACAAATTATAGAGACAAGCTATACAAACAATCCACAACCAGTAAAACATACAATTTCCATCTGGAGCAAGAATAAATATATATTTTCTTGGTTTGTCCGTGCCAGTCAACAAGCCCACTGCTTCTTCTCGTGACGTTTCCCTCGAACCACTTGCCTTCGAAAATCCAGAGGATGATCTCTTCACATCATCATCAAAAAGACTACCTGGAAGTGCACCGCTGTAGCTGTGCCAACGAACACCAGCCTGCTGGAGACCTCCAGTTAGTCTATGATCACTCAGTGCTGGACGCAAGTCAGCGGAAATTGATTCAGAGGCGTCTGCTTCACCGCTACCAGCAACGCCACCTCCAACACCTAGATTGGTGTCAGAATTTGTATCATTAGAGGACTGATGGTGAAGAATGGCATTTAGTCGTAGGCAGGAGGACGTATCCTTAAAACTTTTTAATGCCTTGTTTGCTCCTTGTGATGGAATGCACTGTGACGCTTGTATCGGGTATGAGGGCATATGCCAATAGTGAACAGCAAACACAGCCCTTTGCCTACCTTATGACCGTTAATACTGTCGATTTTGATGCTGGTACCGTTGTTGCTACCTGCTGCAATCCGTTTCCTCTAAACGCTGCATTAGCGCCACACTGCGAATGCATTCCATTCTCGATTTCTCATTGGTTGTACGATGATCCAATGCCTATGCAATATATATCGCCCTGTCCAATTGGCATTAAGAAGCGAAATTATCATTCAGGTTATAGGCAAACTCCTTTTATCTAATTATACACCACCCGTCTCTCTTCGACCCATTGTGTTTACCACAAAATTGTTTCGTGAATGTGAATCAGTCAACGAGGGACTATAAATCGCCCACCTAAATGTACTATTAGTGTCATTCTGAGTATACTTGTAAGGACCCTAAATATAATATTATTCAATGAATAGCATGGTGATCATTAATAATTTAGATCTTTTCTCTATAGTTATGAAAAATACTCCAATTTGGGATTTATTGATATATTTTAACTCTCCTGTTGTTTCAATATCGACTAGGAGCTTCATTAACCAGAAAAGAACTTCACACCTGAAATTGTACACTTCTTAATTCACGGAAACATCTTCGTTAAATTTAGTCATCTTCTTCAATAAAAGCGCGACAAAAGTACTACTGAATAATTGGAGTTTAATGATTTAAATGAATTTAATCTAATGTATCTGCTACAACCACATGTCTGAGTCTTCAGTTTCACCTGTTGTCTCAAATAAATACAAATCCAATAATTTAATTTTGCTGAAATGATGAATATAGCTTTTATTTTTATATTATTTAACGGATTTTGTTAGAAATAATATGAGTTATTGAATTTAGCAAGGCAAACAAATTTACGAATTCAATTATATGTAAGTGAAATGAAGTGAGATTTAGTGTCAACATAAATTACTGGGCAGGCAGATAAGATGAAAAAGTCATATAATTAGCAGGCTTATTTACCTTTCTGACAAAGTGAAATAAAAGAGAAATACTAAAAATGGGAAATATTTTCTTTAATCACATAAAAATTTAATGATGACTACGTAAATTCCTTTACGTTTAGAACAGTCATATGCATTACCATACGGCTATTGCTTCTCTAACCCAACTTGACTGGTTAGAATAAAATATACGACAGAGTTTTAAGTTTTATTAGTTAAACTTCCTTGCATAATGCAAATTTTTATTTATTTAGAGTAATTTTTAGCTTTCTGAAATTGATTCGAATCTGTTTATTTAAGACATGAAAGTGATAATCTGATTTAATTCTAAAACGGAAATCTTCTCTCAAAAAGACTTTTAGTATGACTATTCAGCTAGGAGACTATTTTTAGATGTGAAATGTCCATCGAAAGACACGTAATGGTCTCTACAGTCCCTCCCCCCTAATGACATATATTTCTATTTTTGTACTTATACATTGTCATCTAACCCTACAGAGGATGATATTCAGTTAATAACCTTGAAGTGCTTTTTTGTGTCTCAACGTTGAGGCAACTGAAATTTAAAATTGTGCATTTTAATATTTCTGGAAAATTCTTCATGAAAGTGTTTCCCTTTTAAGTTATGAGCGCTATTTATTAACAATGACTATATACCGCACTATAAGTAGTGTTTGTAAACTTTTAAAAAAGATTATTGCTACCTTAGTAAAGCCTGACTGACTCGGAAATCTCTATGGCAGATTCTCCTACATCTAGCTAGACGCCCAGAGCCAGCTAAGCTATAGCTCAGCTATTGGAGAAACAGGCGTATAGCACGAAACACGTTTATTCAGTAAGTAATTATTTATATCAAATGGGGGTGTGCGATAGACTTACCTCCACGTGGTGCACCCTGGGCAACGTATACTCATCCGGCAAAAAAGTCTATAAACCGGCATTTGACTTCTGACCTCAAACTACCATGGCCCGACTGCTTGTCATATTCGACCCCTTCCACAGTACTCATCTTCCTTTTTTCTCTACCTTTGTGTCTGTCCGCCTCTTTTATATCTGTGAATCGCTCTTCTGTTCCCCACCCCTCGACTTTCTTCTACTTTGATGAATTTTCCTTCTGTGAAGCCCGAAGTCAGCTAAATGGCCAATGATAGCTATCAAGCGCCTGCCACTTGAAATTAATAAATATCAAATGGCAAGCTTTATGATAGTTATCATTAGTCCTTTAGTTGACTTCAGGCTTCACAGAGGGAGAGGAACATCAAATCGAAAAAAGTCGAGAGGGGGGGGGGTGAACAGAAGAGTGTTTCAAAGATGTAAAAGAGACAGACACAAAGGTAGATGAAAGGTGGGGTGCGTACTGTAGCAGTGGTCGAATATGACATACAGTGGGGTCATGATAGCTTGAACTCAGAAGTCAACTACCGGTTTATAGACTTTTTGCTGCATGAGTATACGTTGCCCAGGCTGCACCACGTGGAGGTAAGTCTATCGCACACCCCTATTCAGTAAGGATTTTGCGGATAAAGTGTACACGCAGGGAGCTTAATCATGATCAGGATGGCGGATTAGGTTAAACGAATGGAGGCTACTGGTTGGCCACTGTTTGTACGGCCGCTCCACACAGAGTTGTACGGCCGCACCTCCCAATCCTGGCGAGCAGGCATGCGATGACGCACTAAGCGATGACGTGCCCACATATTGTAATCGTAAAAAAGACTTTTTCATAAACATCGCAACGAAATTTTTGCTGAAAAATGCCTTTATTTAATAGGTCCTGTGGCTAACAAATAATATTGTTTATCGCAAAGTCTCATTTACATTCATTTAAAAATTTAAACGTAAAGCCGTTGTTAGCAGCTTCATTAAAGTGAAAAAATGTATTTTAAATAATCGTTCTGAATGCCTAATAATAGAAATGAGGCAAAGTGGTCAGTGATACTAGCTAATTTTCTACTTGCTCTTTGATACTTCTTAAATCCTAGGAAGTATAGTTACCACAAATGTGACCAATAACTGCATATATTGTAAGTTGTCTGAATGGAATATGAAGTGATAGAGGAAATGCACAAATCTAATGGGATGACAGTGCCCGAATTTAAATAGTCCAGGTTTCACGATTTGCACATGCCATCCCGCGCAGATGGTACATTGTTGAACTCTCGTTTAAGCTCCTCCATAGTACCCTCTGGAAATCAATTTATTTGGCTTATGTGAGCATGAAATTAGAATGCACTGGCTCAATATAGCATCCTACACTTATACCTCTTATAATATGCACACTAGCCTTGTTCTAATTAGTGTTGATGAAGGTCAGAATATTGTCAGATCGATTATAGATTTATGTGGTTAATTAACATGCTGTCAGGAGCGCGTTGTAGCCCCATATTGATAATAAAGGTGACCACATTAAAAAACCTTCCGAATTTACCCTTCCGTAAAAATATAAACCCAGAGGTTTCGAGAATTGTTTATTGGCATTGGCTAAAAAGTGGATCATCAAATGATCTGCTATAGTTACAAATACTCCTTTGAGTTTCTTGGGTCTACCCATCTTAGATTTGTCTTTCATGCGAGTTTTTCAAGAAAAAGATTTTTAAAAATCTAAATCAAAATAAGTCGTATGTGATTAAGTGTAAATGCCAGAGCTAGTGGAGTCGGATTTAGCCAACTAAATTTTCGTTTCTTCAACAAATCTAGTTAATGGACAGCAAGTGTAAACAGGCTCATCGAGTATTGCATTATGGTAGTTAAGCTAACAATATATGGCCAGTCTAAATTAAAAATACTTAAAACGGCTAGAAAACGCTGTCAACTGGTGGCTTAAGTCGTTGTCTTTTACGCGAAGTTGAAGAGTTAAGTGAGGTAGTTGACTATGTTCCAGAAATCTTTCTTTGACCAAATTTTAGTGAAATCGTAGAAATGGGTAGTAACTCCAAGCTCTCCTTCAAGTCAGCAAAGGTATAAACTGTTTAGCAATACTGGACAAGAGCTACTTAATTTACTTTTCATACAGCAAAGGAGCAAAAGTTCATTATTTGATGATCATTTACGGACAGTTAACTCAAGTCTCCCACAAACCACCTAGACGAAGTACTTCACTAATAACTTCAATAGTTAGTCGGTTCAACTCATGCTCCATTACAACTGTAAGAAATTATTGCTTCAGCATCTAATAAGGATTGTTGTATTGGTATTCTGTCCAACCAATAAACGTTAAAAAGCTTCAGAAACTACCTATCTAGTGATAGTTCGCTGCACTTAGTAAGTTCCAATAGCAAGGTATTAGCGACAGAACTTTGCGAAAATTTTCCTTTTTATTCATAGGATTTTGACTAACACCTTGTCCAAGTGGACAGTTAAAATTTTTATTAGTTTTTACATTTTCATATCGGGGGTGCGCGATAAACTTACTTCCACGTGGTGCACCCTGGGCAACATATACTCATACGGCAAAAAAGTCTATTAACCGGCAGTTGACTTCTCCCTCCAAACTACAATGACTCCATTGTATGTCAAATTCAATCACTTCAACAGTATCCATCTTACCTTTACATCTATCTTTGCATCTGTGAATCACTCTTCTTTCCCCTCGCCCCCACCTCCCTCACATTTTCATACCGTGCTTCTCAAAATAATAGCAAAAACATGACAATACATTGGTTGGTATTATTTTAATATTATTGGTATAATGTTTGTCAGACCATAACTGAGTGAAATACTTGCTTCCACTTGTCTAATATAGTCATTTCGTCACCTCTTTCAGTGCCACGGCTCTGGAAGTTTGAAGAATCAACTCAGTTTTAGAGAGCAGGGACGATGGAAGTGTTTATCTAGCTCTAATACAGTTCAACAGGACTCAATACAGCTAAAGACTAAGAACGATAGCCATTGATTGGACCAACCAGTGGACTCAACATTCCAAGGGGAGAACAAAGGTTCTCTCAAATCTGTAACAAGTCACTTCATATACATAGGAGAATAGAGGAACAGGGCAAAGTTAGAGGGTTAAGGTGTTTTTCAAATAGTTGGAGTTCAAGAGGGAGGTCGAGGCAAATAGTTCAGTGCATATCTGGTCCAGTCTGTATGCGAGGCTAAGGCTCAAGGCATAGACTGTGGGAAGACGAATTTCTTAGAGCTCTAAGAGTGTAAGGCAACAAAAGTGCATTTTCTCGGCCTCGGCGATTCATGGTAAGAATATGCTTTTTCGATTGAGTTTGGAAGCCGAATCGGATATTCTCGGTCCATCTGAGTGATGGTCACAGGCTTCTTGCCTCGTACATTAACCTTTTGGTGGTCATTAAGTAAAAGCCCTTTCTATAGTGTTGGAATTATTATCGGTTCACCATCTATTCTGTCAATTCTTACCCGTTCAAATCTAAATAAGAGCGCGTATTTTAATGAATAAAAGAGCAATTTGCGTCACCTGTCCTCCCTCGTTTTCCTCCTCGTTTTGAACAACTTTACGCATTGTTCAACCTCATTGGATAACCAATAGCGCTGAAGATGTCCATACTTTCTAAGTTACAATGTCGAGGGGGAAGTTAATCAAGTAGGCAAACACTGAGCACAAGTATGTCTCAGAAAGTCGATCAGTTTAAGGAATATGTGCGTATCCACTGAAATTGCTGCTATGTTTTCAAACTGAAAGCAATTCAATGACTGCTAATATCTATAGGCATTTTTGCGTCACGATAAAATCCGTACCAAAAGTGGAGGTAGGTAACTTGAAATTATTTTAAGATGGAGCATAAATCATAAGATTTAATGAAATAATATCTTGTTTCACTATATAAACTCCACAACAGGCATGCATTTATTTTATTCCGTCGAAAGTCCCAGACAAAATATTGCCCATTTCAAAATTGCAAACAGGTTATTCGATTTCTATAATATGCTTAAAATAAATTGTCAGTTGCTTTTATTCCATTTGGAGCACAAGTCAGTTATTTTTACAATGTCTATTTTTAACAAAGGGGGAAATATGGAGGTAGCTTAAGCCCAAAAATGTACGAATATACATATATATATATATATATATATGATTTATTGTCAAACATTCGAACAGCCTCAACACATAGATTCCCACAATGAGCAACTTAAGGCTTAGAAAAATGTACTTCATCAAATTTCAATCAACTGAGAAGACTGGACGTAGGTGATTATTATGTGCGCTTTACCAACTTTAACTAATCATTAGGAACACTTTAAATAGATATATAATTCAAAATATATGAATCGATGTCACTTTAAAGTTCAAGGGAAAAAATCGAAAATGCCTTGAATTTCAATGATCACTAAAACTAAAATTTCTTATTGCCCGGAATAGCCACGGGTCTCAGAAAAGGGAATTTTCATAAAGACGGGCCCAAATATACATTTTTTACAAGTATACGACGATGACCATTGTAGGTAAATGACTAATTGAGTCAAAAAATATTTGCCAATTATACACCTTCCCTACAACAGTTTGAACTTCTTAGGACTTACTTGAACAACAGTACCGTGTAATAATCTTAAGTCACTTCAAATATCTTATCTACAACGAAAATTGTTACAAGCCATTTTGAGAAAAGGGCAAATCTAAATAAAAACAGTCTTTGTGATACAGGTAGTTATAAATTACACAATTATAAATAAGTAAAATCATTTCAACAAATCATATGATGAATGAAATGCGTATTTGGTAGATAGGAGGTGCAAAGGGAAGTGAGAGTAATCTAGTAAAATTCTGGATCAGAACTGCGAATAGAGTCTGCCATGAGGTTATGAGAGGTCCGTCTAGATACGAAAGTTGACTGCTGTGGAGCCTCAATTGTGTTTGCCAGTTGAGGCAGCATGTCCAAGAGGAGAGCCAACTGACACTCGGAATACTATAGATAAAATAAGCACCGGCCACTTTTAAAAATATTTTATGGCCTACCTGCATGGATTTAACGATACCACAAATAGGCAGTTTCCCAGTTTTGTCAGTCACGAATGAATTGGCACCACGTTTGATGAGTTCAATAACAGTTCTTGTGAAGCCCTTCTCCGCAGCCAAATGCAGAGGTGTGCGACCGTCTGCAAGCACTTCATTTATCAACTCTTGAAAATCAGACCTACACAACGCAGAGTAATAAGGAAATTCTAACAAATCTAACCTGCGGATCAAACACAACGCTGTGTCTTCGTTGGGCCCAAAAAGAGCTAAGTGCAGGACGTTAGAGCCCTCGAGATCCCTTCTACCAATGGAAAGAATGGGATCGTCCTCTAGATTCCGTTGGTATAAGAGGAGAAAATCCACCGTTTTAGCAGCTCCATGGAGAGCTGCAGCCATTAGTGGTGTACGACCTTTGTTGTCAAGGCAACTAATTGCGTCTCTTTCTTGTCCCAGATTCTGAAGAAGTATCGTTTGGACGACCTTGGCCTAAGAGTGCAAATTAGTATGTTCGAAGACAATTTAGAGAAAGTGAAAGAATACCTAAGCAGATCTATTAACTTACAAGATTGGCCATTGCAGCTATATGGAGTGGCGTACTTCCGCGGGCATCCTTCAATTTTAGCATAGAAACAGGGAATGCCGCAAGAAGAGTTCGGATTATTGACACATTCTCAAACATAGCAGCACAGTGTAGCGGTGTATATGTATTACCCTTAATAAAAGATGGGAAACGCATTGCAATTCTTGGCATCCTTTAAAAGATAAACAATCAATAAATACTGGAATCTCTACGATGGAGAGAAGAACAGTAAATGGTCCCTTTAAGGAGACCTATCGGTAATTGTTGACTTAGTTTAGGCTCGCTTCCAAGTTCTGACATTTAAAAGAGTAAAATGTACGAGATTGAAAAACGATAAACTTGTTTATTCCCCATGGCAGAAAAAAATCTCAAATCATAATCACGGAGAAACTCCCAAACACGCATGAAGTGAAAGTGCATAAGGAGGAAGTACACCCAGTTTTAAGAGGTTACGGGGAGTCAGGAGAGCCCAGCTTCATTTGAGCCTCAGAGCCATCAGGTCATTCTCTTCTTCAAGTGGGTTCTCCTTCAGACATATTCTCGCTCGTCACACCGAATATCCAGGTGAAACGAATTCATTTGCTTTGGTAGTCATTCTTTCTCCATACAATTCTTGTGGCGCACATATGCTTGACGAAGAAGTCTGTCAGTAGGCAGATCATATTTGGGTTTGTGATTGATTCGTCAGTGGCTCACCACTTCGCTTTCCTTTACAGATACGATGAAAGCTGATCCACATTGACAATCGAAGGCTCCTTGAATTACACTGCTCTTAATCATACCCTTATAGAATATAGCATGGCGTTGAAGTGGTGACCCAACGTCCCGTTCATCTTAGCTAAAGACAAGGATGTGCATAGCAAATGGCTAGGAATGTGTGCAGGTGGCATATTGGTCAATGTGTAAGTATGGCATGCTGGAAGACACGAGGTAGGTGAAGAAAGAATGGTAGGTTTCGTTTGATAGAAACTGATGTTTCAAATTATCACGGGATTTAAACCACTTTAATTTGAGAATAAGCTATTCGAAATATATGGGGACTACTAAAAGTAGTATTTTCCACTCAATGAAAAAGATCAAGAATTAAAACCAAGGGTCATACCACGAGAGATTTGTACGATTCCACCTTTAAGAGTCTTTCAATGCAGGTAAGATGGCCGCCTTGAACAGCGTAATGTAACGGCGTAAAGCCCCGATAATCCAAAGGGATTAATACTCTGGTATTTTCAGCCTCATGTAACCCAATCAAATTATCCACTGTTTGCAGGAGAACATCTAGAACTTCTATACTGCCACTGATTGACGCGAAATGAAGCGCCTGTCTGCTATTTTCATCAGCCAAAGTAAGAGAAGCTCCAGTCTATAATAGATGAGGCATAATTTCCCTCGAGCGATCTCCAGTATTTATCTTGAGATTCAAAGAACCCATATTTACCTGAAGAAGTATTTTAGCGGCCTCTGCATGACCCAGAGCCGATGATCGATGGAGGGCGGTTCTGCCATGTTTGTCAACAATAGTGACCCGGCGAACTATATGTGGATCGCAAGAGTGATCGTAAACGGAAACAGGTCTCGATGGTAGTAGAGATAGAGAACACAGTAGTTCAATAACTGATGTGTGCATGTTTTCTGCCGCTAACATGAGTGCCGTACGTCCTTCCCTGTCTCGGGCATTTACCAGATCTGCAAAGGATAATACCTAAGAGTATGAGTAAGTAGAATTAGCGATTAAATAGTCATTTGGAATTCATACCAAGTGATGGATTCTCCTTTGCCGAGTACCGAAGAAGAAACCCCACAACAGAACTATGACCCTGTAGAAGAAAAGTATACACAACTACAGTATACTCATACATTAGCTCAAACAGACTTAAACAATTGAATGAGCATTTATTTTGAAATTTGCATATTTCTATACTCAAATAGAATCCAAGGATTAACGATTGAATTTGTCATAGCCAGTTTCCACGCAAATTCGCAATTTCAATCTGATTTTCGCGAAATTAATAATTTATACAGGAGCAATAGTGCTCGAGTAGAAGAATGTGGTAAAGAAATAGACCAATTTGAGAAATGCTCTTGAAGACGCGAAATAGCTCTATGCCCAAGGTGCCATACCTGTGAAGCGGCATAATGCACAGCTGTCCATCCATAAACACCATCCAGCAATGTAGGATCAGCCTGACAAAGTGAATAAGCTATCAGGAATTGACAAGTTTCCAGGCGGCCAGCATAAGCAGCATAATGCAAAAGAGTACGCCCAAGGGGGTCCGTGAGCTTGCCACATGGACGGGCGTCAGAAAGAGGAGGATGATGGAAGAAAGAAAGACGGCGACCACCTTCTTGTAGGGCCGCATTAACTTCGCTATTTCTACCATTTTCTTTCTTCTCCTCGACGTTGAACTTCTTCTGATCCTTTACAGCGATGTTCGCGTCTATTGTTATTTTGAAATCGTCTTCCCCTTCCTCCGTCAACATTTCATCCCGCTCCGAATACGATCGTGATTTACAGCTGTTCATTAGAACCTGCAAAGCGAAAGCCTAAGGTTATAGTAGGAGTACAAATGAAGAGCAGTGTGGAATAATATAGATTTTTAAACTAGAGAAGACGACGAGAAACCTAGTCTAGGGCTAAGGAGTCTATGGTTTGTCTCGAGAATTTCTGCCAGTGGTCTCTAAGTCACCCACCATTCCTATCAATATGCAGGCGCACGCTATTCAAACAGCTTGAAATACAGAATGGGAAAAAAGTTGTGAGTAGAATGTTGAGTTTACCGTCAAAACGATTACATGAGAAAAAAGACTTAAATTAGTAAAAATATCCTTTGCTAAAGTTAAAATTTAGCAGACACGTGACATTTCTGTCTTCTCTCTATGGATTTCAGTTAAACGTAAATTCCCGATATTTCGATCGCACCCAGTCCAACTTAGAAGTACCCAAAATTTTATCAACCAATAGTCTTACTTTAAAAAAACTGAAAATCGATTTGATGGTAACTACTATCAGAGATTTGTCACCTACTCAAGCAGGGGGTTTAGAAACTGAAATAAATGTAAAATGGAACTTATGTATTAGAAGTGGATTGAAAATTAAACCATTGTTCTTACCTTAACACAATCAGTATGACCCCTAAAGGCAGCGAGAAAGAGTGGAGAATAAAAAAAATGGCTCGAGGTTTCAGTCTTCGCCTTCAATATACTCCCTTCGAAAGCCGCGATGCAGTCAGGATTTTTCGGCACATACCGCGTCATCTTCGCTGAATCCAAGATTAGAAGACAGCTTTCCCTGGTAGACAAATCCTGTACGAATATTTTCACTCCCACTACATTGCCCATAGCAGCAGCTATATGAAGAGGATAGTAAGCTGCCTACAAAATTAGAAAAAAGGGTCATTATCAGAGAATAAACGGGGAATATAATTTGACTCAGAGCGTACCATAACATGTACAACTGTTTGAAAGGGAATAGAAAGAGGAGTGAGGATTGCATTCTGGATACACAATTGCTCCTCAGAGGTAGTACTAGAAAGAGCATGGGAAGAAAATTGGCCGTTATGAATTCCGCCTCTAAGCACCATGCAATTCTTCGTCACCGTGTGACTTGGTTGGCTCGATTCGGATACGGAAAATGAAGCGGATGAACAGGAGTCATTGTCTTCATTAGGGTAAATCTTAGTGGGACTGCGAGATAGCACCGCATTTTTATTAGCTCCATAAAGTAGAAGAGCGCGAATCAAAGACCCTTCGGTGTCAAACGCCGAAGCCAAGTGAAGCGCTGTACATCCATGTACATCTCTATGATTAGGATCAACACCCAACTAAAAATTTGGTAACAATTGTTCAAATATCTGTGGATGGGCAATATTGAGTGAAATTCAAAAACCATACCTTCAACAGGACCCTGACAATTTCAGCCACTGGTGTTGACTTAGTGGAAACACGAGTTTGGGGTTCCTCCAAGTAGCCTTTTAACCGATTTGAAAGAAGGGCATAGTGCAGTGGGGTCCGACCCATGGCATCCAGGTCAAATGGCGATGCACCGGAAAGAAGGAGAGTGCGAAAACAATCAACAGAACCACCCAAAGCTGATGTATGTACAAGACTGCGACCCAAATCGTCACGAAACGATTGCAGAGCAGCAGTGTAAGTCGAAGAGTACGTTTTTAGGTGTTCCGTTTCAGATATGGAAACCGTTTCTTCCCGGGCCTCATCCCAACTCCGTTTAGCTATGTCCAAGAGACTGTGGAATTAGAACGAAATACACCTAAGCTACGATAACACAACTTTATTCTGTGGAGAAATAGCGATTGGCAAATAAAATAGGCAGTAAATAATTTTCGAAAATATTAGAAGAAAGGTGATTAGAACTACCTTGTTAAAGTGTGAGAGATAGTGAAGTGAAAATGCTACAACAACAATAATAATTAAACATTTTACAGATATTTGACCCAAAAATCACAATCTTGGAAACGACTATGTTTCACGGGAGGGTATCAGAAAACAAGATCCTGATAACCGAAATATTCTTGCAAATTTATTTTTAGATACTGCAGGTAGATAATGATTTTCCCAAAACACTAAAAGTTCAGCCGTCAGCAAGAGGGAAGAAAAGAGTTGGGCAATAGAAACATGGTCGGCATCGTATTAGACAATGAGAATGTTTGTGATTTCGATGTGTGGAATATTTCCAATTGCCTGAAAATTAGTATTAAGGATTATTTCTCATCAAATGAATTATAGATTTGAAGTTAAAGGAAATATTTCTCACCAACCAACTCTTATAGATATATGTAAATTTCTAAGATCGAGGTCCAATAAGAGAATTTTCAGGATCTCGAAAACTTGCCAAAACAGAGTTACATTTTTAAATTGGAGTCATTTGACCTTCATTCTTATTTCAGTGGACAAAATTAGATGCCTCTCATCAAATACTCTACATAACGATTAGATAACCTAGATTAATAAGAACGAAAGCGGTTGAAACGAACCGGTTGAAGCAGACGGAGAATCCCGAGATGGTGGCGCAGTGTAGAGGAGTGATACCATCTTGATGAGCACGAGCATTCCAAAGAGCCCCGGCGTCAAGTAGAGTGCAGAGAACGAGTTGGTGACCCTGTCGTGCTGCCATATGAAGGGGCGTGAAGCCACGATTGTCAATCGAATTCACATTCGCCGAATTCTTCAGTAAAGTCTGCGCCTGCCTATGTCTATAGGGGAACAGAACAAAAATTTTACTTCCTTGCAAGGAAATCAGGAAAAAAGTTTATTGATATGAGATCATCCAGTAAAAAAATATTCGTATACGCATCAGGAATAAATCGGAGTGCAAGTGTTTGAATACAATGAAAAGGAGGTAAATACTGACTGAAACAAAAGAAAAGAGAAAGCAACAGGTGTGATCCTGTTTATCAAATTCCCCTCTTTGGAGAATGAAATGAAGCTATTGAGAAAAAAGATAACCTCTTGTCAATTCAGCAGAATTTTTACAGAATTATCTTATAAAGATGGCTGGAATTGAGCTAGTTCGTGACCTAGTATTAATGAACGATTCAAGCTTGTAATTGTGCCTTTTATATTCACGAGATAATATTTAAAATATTGTATTTTACAATTAAAATCAATAGCTTGAATTGGTCATCTTCCATGGGTTCGATTCCAATTAGTGCACGCCCAATAAAATGAATGACTAACCACACTCGTTAAGTTAGGCTACTGCAGAGGTAGCAGAATTCGGGTTCCTCGCTGGAACGCTCAATGATGTTGCCTCCTACCAAATGGAGGCGTTGTAAAACGATATCCTAAATGAGTTTGTCAATTACTAACTTATATTGGACAGGTAGCAACTTCATCCAAAGCCTACATCCACTCATTATCATAGCATGCCTTTTTTCAAGTGACCGGATATTAATTAACTCAGCGCACTAGAACCGAAAACAACTACAAATTTGATTTAAACAGTTAGCACACTTAGATATCCTCCACAGTAAATTAACTTCTTTATTATATCTATTGACTATAAGAACTAGGAAGAGATATCTTGAGCATATGGCATCGCATTCCAAACCTACGTCTGGTAATTCAGTTAGCGATTTAACCCAATATTTCATTCCATTCATTCCTTTCTACACATATATATTTAAAGTTAAAGATGGTGTTGCTTAAATTTAATTTTGGGCACCCGAATTTATTCACCCCCCTAATTTACACCAAATCAAACAATGCATTACATAACGCTCAAATATTAACAGAAATTTCCCCTAATCTCCTCAAAAGCAATTGCCACTTGTAATTTTTGCTATGTGAAGACAGCAAGAAAGTAAAGAAAAAATAAGTACGTGGTCCTGCAAAGGTGTAAAAGGATGAGTGACCAAGAGTCAGACAATATGAATAATCAATTGTAGATGGGTTACAAACCTCCCATAAATAGCAGCCAGATGCAGGGGAGTCCAACCACCTTCACCTGCAGTTAATTCCAAATTCAGAAGAGACTTAGAAGATTCCCTTCCGTCGGTTTCAAGAAAATTTTTGTAAAAACTGATTAAAAACTCCAAGCATTCGCCATCGTTGGAGCTCATTGCAGCCAGATGAAGTGGAACATACCCATCCAAATTGCGCTGATTCAAGGCAAGAATCAAACTTGAATCAGTGACACTACCTTGACATTCTTCTGCTAGAATGCTCAGACATTTCTTCACAACTTCAATCTGGCCATTCAAGCAACCCAAATGCAATATTGAGTTATACTAAAAACAAAGACGAAAGTAAAACTGGTACAATTTTAATAAGAATTAACGCCACTCAAAAAAATACCCGTTGAGTTCGAGCATCAAGATCTGCTCCGAGTTCAATTAACCGGATAAATACACTCATGTTTCCCAAAGCCGCCGCAACATGCAAAGGGGTATACTGCAGTCTATCTCGACAGTTGACCTCGGCCCCAAACTCACATAGCAAGTCAATTATCTGCCAAGATAAAAGATAACAAACTTAAAAAAGATCTACATCGCTCATTAAATGAGACAAAGTGATTAAAATTAGGACGCACGCCTGTGAGATTGCATGCGGAAGCCCAGTGCATTGCTCTGCGATCATTTTTATCGAAAGCATTCACAGAAGCCCCATTCATAAGAAGCAATCGAACCATCTAAGGAAGAGCAGCAAATGAATAGTCTTTAAAGAGTGATATTTCAAAAACGAAGGCTCACTTTACATTAATATGTCCACCATAGACAGCATGGTGTAAAGGAGTATGGCCATCACGATCTGAGGCGTTCAAATTTGTACCAAATTCCTCATCTTTTATGTTGTAGAAAAGTAGAAGTCGGGCGCATTCCAAAC